TTCGCTGTAAAGAGTCGAAAAAGTTCAAACAAAAAAGGGTTTAATCAAACTTTCACGATCACCAGAGCATATAGCCTAGACTATATGGGTAAAAGGAAATCAAATAAAAACACGCGTCTCAGAAGTTTTTTTTTTTCATATGCATACTATAACTGAACGTACTGCACTTGAAGCATAATAAACTTTATAGTTTTTTTGATATTAAGTGCCTACATCCAATTTCCCTTGAAGCACTGGTATAAATCTTCTCAGTGTTTTTATTTACAAACTGGCAGACAATTTCAGGCCAGGGATACGTGCAGGCAAATTATGTTGTGACATTAAAACTTTTACTGCGCGTCATTTTTTCAAAGAGTTGAAGTAAAACAGGGATAACATTTCAACGCTTTACTTTCATTATTGAAATATATAATGAAAGAAAGTGTAAAATCGGTGAATTTATTTAGTTTTATGTTGCAGTTTGGTATTCTGAGCAGTTGCATAGAATAGGTTGCTCTGAAGAAAAACATACCTCAACGGTCCATTTCAACGCTTTACTTTTATTGAGGTCATGTCAAATCTAAATATGTTACACATTCCGATTCCTTACGAAACTCAAACACTTTCTGTAATGATATCCCAAAATTCTGCAAGCATGGTCTGCCTTCCTTATAAAGCAGAGAATCAGACAATCAGATAATCTTATATGTCGAATATTCAGATTTGAATGTTCTCTAACTATAGTCAGTGTTTCTTATAAACCAGAGAAGCACGCAAGCAAATAATCTCATGCATTCTGTGTACATATGCATGCTGTATTTTTTGTAACTAGCAGAGAAGCAGGCATTCAGATGATCTCAACCTAAAATATTAATCTTATGGTTGCCGACAAGGAGAACTTTTAAAAATTGAAAGTCTGCGCAAAATTATTATCATAACTGCGAAGAACAGTCGTCCTGTCCAAAACCGGCAAATCTAGCGCGAGCAATGGTACTAGTTAACTCACACTCAGCACGCTTAATACAGCATATTAATACGGAATGCATGAGATTATCTGTTTGTCTGCTTCTCTGCTAGTTAGAAGAGATATACCATATATAGACAATATGCAAACATAAATGTAGAATGCTTGAGATTATCTAATTGTCTGCTATTGGAAAGAAATACCACACATAGAAAATATTTAAATAGTGGAAAAAATCTAAATATGTTACATATTTAGATTCGACCTCAACTGAGCAAACTGGACGATTTGTCTCAGAGAAAATAAAACTCGTTCTTCATCTAATTCTCTAAACCCATGTAAAAGCACCGATAGCCAAATTCTGGCAGAATCTGGTACAATTCTACTAGAATTCAGCAGAATTCAAACTATCAGTAGTTACTCTCAGGTCCTCCGCCCATCATCCCCTGGTTCAATTCTGCTGTAATTTGAAAAAAGTATGTCAGTGTGATAGAGAATATGTAGTGAATGTTGGTTGAATTCTAGTAGAATTCTGCCAGAATTACGGTAGAATTGAGCAGAATCTGCCAATTCGTAGAGAGAATGTAAATGTGAATTAATGCAACTTGTAGAACTAGAATTGGAATTCTACCAGAATTCAACTAGATTCCGAACAGAATCTTAATTACAGTATATATGTGAATGTGCAATTGAATTCTGCAGTTCTGCAGAAATTTCCACGGAATTGTACAACTTGATGAATCAGAAAACCGTTTTAAGAAGAAAATAATAAGATCAGTGCAGCATGTCTTCATCAATCGATGTTCCAATGTTTGACTAAATTTTTTATTGTAGATAGCGGCAACTACATCAGCGAAAAGTTAACCTTTCTCGCAAAGCTGATTATTTAACTTAAAATAATAAGTATTTTGAAACATAATCGTTTTATCCAATAGAATATTTTCTCATGTTCGGTTTTATAAAGTTAAATAGAACAAGACTATAAGATATGAATCGAGTGCACGATTTACCGTCCGCGGATTTACTGTCCGTTGATTAATTTCTATTTTATTTAGCTTTTTTGCATAGACAAGTATAATTTTCTTATGTACGGATTTACTTTCCGTTGATTACATATAAATATATCTCAATTAGCCACTTTTTTATATAAGGATTTAATTTCCACTAATTATTTAGACCAAAAGCAATGAATGAGCAAATGAATATTCATCGTGACAACGAATGTATTATAAGAAAAAAAATATATTATTGGTGTTTATTATTGGTGTTTATTATGTTTATTAGTAAAACGAAAAAAGATATTTTTTTAACTTTTCGATGGACGTTGAAAATATCTCATACCGGCAGCTTTCAAGAACGCCGGAATGTCAATACGACCGTCATCATAACGTTGCCATAATTTCATTAGACATTTATCTGTTATAACTTTGTTTTTTCGACGTTTTGGAGCTGGAGCTCCCATACCATCTTGTACTCGTGCAATCGATTCCTTTTGGACTAAACCAATAGCAATATAAATGTTTAGATGAGGTGAACTTACGTGTTTTTTCATTCGAGAATGTCGACCTTCCAAATAATTAATTGTTCGAGGTGTTATATTACGATAATGGTCATACATATGAGGCGGAAATCGACTGAATGGTCCATATGTATTATGATAATAATCAATAAATCCTTGAAAACCTGGATAGCCTGGTCGAGTACGAATTAGGCGCTGCAAACCCCATAACATATGCTTTAATGGTAATAACGATAATGCTGCAAAAGATCTGAACCAATCACGAAGGTTTTCGTCATCTTTGTATTGTGTTTTTGAACCAAGATTTACGACATAGACTTTGTCCAAAATGAAATAAACAACCTCTAACAATAATACTTGGGTAATACTTGGTAAATACATTGGAAACACCTAATTCAAAATCAATTGTAATAGTTCGTAACCTGATAACTAACTGGAATTCGGACATTTTTCTGAAAAGTACTGAAATAACGCAATAACGCATGCGTTATTGCGTTACTGATAACGAGTAACGCATGCGTTACTCGTTACCAGTAACTACTAACGAGATGCGTTTATTTTTCATAGCTTTTGTAACGAGTAACGCAGCGTTATTTGCGTTACTTTAACGCTTTTTTGCGTTACTTTTCTAGTAACGCAGTAACGCTTGCGTTACTCGTTACCAGTAACTACTAACGAGATGCGTTTATTTTTTATAGCTCTTGTAACGAGTAACGCAGCGTTATTTGGGTTACTTTAACGCTTTTTTGCGTTACTTTTTTAGTAACGCAACAACGCATGCGTTACTCGTTACCAGTAACGCAACAACGCATGCGTTACTCGTTACCAGTAACGCATAATATAGTAACGCTTTAGTCGCATTGTGTCCGGAAGGTGATAAAACAATACATTTTTGGTTGTTCGCCACTCATACGGTGATATTTGAAAGCGTTGCTTTACTCAGTAAAGTAACGCATCAGTAAAGAAAATGTGCCACCCCTATACAAACTGATTCGTGAATTCCGACATGTCACACCTTCTACCCTGCTATAAGCTATTCTATCAGTTAGATAACTTAAAAAACGGGTATATAGTTCATCGCAAATACCTTTCTACGGTGCTTTATACAGGAATTCTTTATGACTCTCTCTCTCAGAAATGAATGAATCGTACTTTAGTTGTACAATTTGTGGGAAAAAATGAAAGTAACTTTATCAATAATCTGAGTCGACCAGACTGTTCCCCATAATTTTCTGATTACCAGGTAAAAAATTTCCAAACTACCAAAGGTCTACCAGCTGAGATAATAGAGGTGCAATTTTCTAATGTGTTAAATTAACGGTGACCCGTGATATTTTCAAAATAACTTCTGATAGAAACAACATAGAGACCTACGATTTACGCAGGACACCTCTGGGTTTTCTGAAGTTTAAACTCGCAAAACCTGATGTGTGAGGTTTCATTGTTTTCCCCCAAAAGATATTTGGTCGATTGATCCTCGAACAAAGTCTAAAACCACAACCGCGAAATGGCTTATTGATAAATACTTCTAAAGCTTTTGTTTTACGTAGTTCTGTTTGCTCCACTAGAAATAGCGTATTCGAAAACCCATCAAAGTTTACTTTTCTCAGTTCTGCACAGCTATGAATAGGAAAAAAGTTCGAAACGAATCTCCCGTTACAAAAAAAGTCTCCCTATATTTTGCGGCATAACGCCAAGTTTACTAGGAAGACCAGGGATCCCAGATCTAAAAGACGAAAATGAGAAAAAAAAGTTCAAAATCAGACAAAAATCAGAAAAACAAGTTGGAAATCAGAAAAAAAATCAGAACGTTGTTTGTTCTCATACCCAAATGGTTAGTTGTTTTTTTATAATTTTAGAAAAAAAGTTATAAATCAAATTTTCGTTCAATATCAAACAAATATTCTAAAATACGACAAAATTCCAAAAATAAGAAACGAGGCAGAAAAAAGTCTCAAACTAAGGCTTTTTCTGCTAAAATCAGACGATCTGAGATCCCTGAGGAAGACATCAACTTTAAGTGCCGAAATTTTTACCACTCATACAACTTCCTACCTGCTTCTGGTTCTGAAAGTTTGAAACAATTTAGATACAATCTCATTGACTTATGGGCAAAGCAGGTTCTAAAATCTCTGCCTACAAACTGAGTGAAAAACCTAAACTTCGTCATTTTTGGACCACTTAATAGGCGTTTAGTAAACTACTTTTGTGTGTTTTTCGGAGTGTTTTTGATGCTCTATCTCATGATGGAATCAATTTTATGCTTAAGTGCTACCTAAATCCGTCAGATTGATTTGGTGTCTCCCTACAATTTATACGGAAAACTTAGTTCTCCAAAAAAATCTGTGCCAAAGTGCTGAAGCGAAATCGTAAATGATATGGACAGATAGAGAATTTTGCGCTCTACACGATCCACTGGTCTGCCTTTTCTTTATCATCTGTCTTTGATATGAAAATCTCATTTTTAGTCATGCTAGTCAAGATAAAAACGCGTTTTTCTGCTTTTTCAACTCACCTGAAAACATATAATGCTCAAAATTTTATCGGTAGTGAGAGGTGATGAGATGAATAAAATAAAAAAGAAATTTTAGGAATCCGACAAATCACTACGAATTTATAGCAGAAACGGTACTAAACAACCAATTGTACAATTAATATACGATTCACTCAAATACATCTCAGAAACCGTAAATCCGATCTTACCAAACTTTCAGGAAATGTTGACCATATTATTGTACATTTCTGCTAAAATTTCGGAGATGTCTTCGCTCAATGAGGAATGAGAATGAGCCTATATATGGACTGCACAATTTCTCGTAACGAAACGCCGTGCAGAGCTCAAAAAGATCTTAAAATAACAAAACAGATAAAGCTCGATTTTTGATTAATTTCTTTTCCAAATTTCGTGTCTAATCTTCGAGATGTCCTATTGTGACCAGAAATCTTGGCTTTAACATGAATCCTACAAAACCTTTTAATAAATCCTTGACCTCTTCGCGAAGACAAAATAATTACCGATCCTACTAGTACACGTCCTGAACTATCCAATAATGTGCATACCCCAATAACTACCTTTGCTAAAAGAAATAATGCATTCCTGACGCAGACACACCTTTCTCCTAGAGCTATAACATCACATCATCGACACGTTCACGAAAATAGCACGTGTGTTCTTATGATTTCGAATATCCAATGCCCACTGATCACTAATAAAAACTACTGAGACATAAAGAAAACATTTACTTTCATACAGACTACTACAGCTTACACGGCATGAAAACAATGATTAACCACCCGGTCAAACAAATCATTATTGAGACGTTTCAACAAATACACGTATGGCGCAGAAACATTTGTTTTGTGGCACATACATACCTGTTACTGCAGATGCTGAAATCGTCCCGCTTAATCCATTGGAATTGCTGGTTTGTTGGCGCGCTTCAACAAAACAAAAAGACATTAAGATTGAACGTTGACCACTTCCATTCGACTTACATGATAGTCCTGTCGCACTAATAGTTGCAGAATTCGATGGCCCTAGAAAGAACTGGTCAGGTGAATTGGACAGTCGCAAACCTTTCGTTAAAAGCGAGGTTGCTGCTTTTGAGAAAGATCATCGTTGAACTATATGTAGATATATATATATCTACATATAGTTCAACGATGATCTATGTATATACAAATGGTAGACATATGGTATCATGAATATATATACATATATATACATGATAAAGCCCATCGTATTTTACAATCTTTCCTGCCGAACATTTTTAATTCCGTCCGCTCAGCTGGCTCGTACATGTACATTCAACGAGTGAGAATAAAATCAAGTTTATCATTTTTTGCTTTCAAACTAGGTGCGTATATTTTTGTCTTCTCGATGCTGCAGAATCGAATCCAGCATGGTGAAAAACCTGTAGAAATGTATAATTTTCGCATGATACGTTAAGACAAATACACATATTGCGTAGAAACGTCTTTTTTGTGGCACATACATACCTGTTACCGCAGATGCTGAAATCGTCCCGCTTAATCCATTGGAATTGCTGCTTTGTTGGCGCGCTTCAACAAAACAAAAAGACATTAAGGGTTGAGGTCCACCACTTCCATTCGACTTACAAGACAGTCCTGTCGCACTCACAGCTGCAGAATTCGATGGTCCTAGAAAGAATTGGACAGTGATCGATGTTCTGGGTTCGATTCCCCGTCGAGATATGTTTTTCTTCAGAGCAACCTATTCTATGCAACTGCTCAGAATACCAAACTGCAACATAAAACTAAATAAATTCACCGATTTTACACTTTCTTTCATTATATATTTCAATAATGAAAGTAAAGCG